TTATTGAGAGCATGTTGGTTCAAGGATGAATAGATCATGGATGATGATAATATAGACCGAGACGGGTGAGTAGCTTACAGCCGTTGCCAAATCAAGACCACCACATGCCTTTAAGAGTCGCTCTCGGCCAACCCACGTTCTCAAAAGTGTCATTCCTTTTTATGCATGGATTGTACATGTGGTACGAGAGACGAAAGTAATGAGACTAACGATTAAATGTATAATAATTACAAACCAATTTTTATGTCCTCATAAGTGCATCGTTACTTTTATCTAGCTTTGTTGTTTCCCAACAAAAGGATGAAAAAATGTCAAAACCTCACCTTAGAACCAAACGAAATCTACCCCTCGGCTACTGAAATCGTTGTCCTCTGATTTGGATGGACAATGTATGGTGATCATCACTACGGTTTCTGTATCGAGGAAGGAACCTTTTCATTACTAAATCCTATGTCAATCTGTGTTGATTTGGTCTGACTGGCTGACTTGGTTCAGCCTGATCCAGGCGGCGGTCATGCAGGGTCAAGGTGAAATAGGGGTCGGGTCATGCTAGGTTTTGTGTTAGGGTACTTCTACAGTCGGGGACTCGGTGTTGGGTTTGGCCCAGTTTCACCGTTGATCTTAATTATAGTGATCTTACATAATCTTAAACCACCAGTTTTTGGTTGGATGTTTTTTCCGATGGGCTGAATTTTGAAACTGTGTACTAGTTTCCATTGGCGAAATCACAAATACGAATGAATGGGGTTAATTTGAATCATAGTAATAATCAATGGCGGACCCAAGAATTCAAAAAAAGAGTAACATCAAATACGTTCATGGTATTTGAAACGGTGAGGGGAGCTAAAGCATTACTACCACCTACTTTGTTTCCAAATTCGTTACAAAATTTACATGTAAATTTACACAATTTTAATACTTGAATATTGGGGGTATAGCCCCCCATCTACACATAATATAATATGCCGAAGGGAAAAACGAGAGCCCCATTTCAAATTTCCTGCAACGAGAGTGAAAGTAGGAAGGACATTTTGGTCTTTATAATTACTTTTTTTATTCATTAAAAAGACATTTACTAGGATTCGAACAATGACCATTTTAACGAAAAGCAAGGATCATAACCAATCACACTAAGTACATTTGTTGTATCTTTTTAAATTAAAAACATATAATAGTAGGGAGGAAAAAACCCTTCCACTATTTCAAATTCCCTGCTTCAGGAGCGTTTGTAGGAAGGGTAGAATAGAGAGTGTCAATTTTTTTCTCTTTCCTCTGTGGAACGGGTCAACTTACCGTACACATGCGGATTTAAACGGGTCCAGGAGTGTCAATTTTTTTCTTTGAGCCCTTTCATTTCTCCGTGGTGATAAAATTATATATGAAAAGGAAAAAATAATACTTCTTTTTATTGCTAAAAATAAAAAATTTAACAATAAACTAATACATGGTATCTAATTGGCTAACCGCTAACCATAAAATAAAAGAGTTGAATGGGTCTGACCTACACGGGATTTGGCCATCAAGTAAAACAAATGAACATCATTGGTTTGACATTTTAAAACAAGCTATTTTCTCTGGCATAATATATTATGCTATTATTTTATATCTTAGTGGCTAAAATATAATGTATTTTAAAGTTATTCAATGGTTCAACCTCGCCCAACCCAATGACTCCAATTTTTATCATTTCAAATATATAGTATATAATTATTTGATATCATAATGATCAAATTATAGTGTATTTTATAGGGAATCGTTTGGTATTTGTTAGTAAAAAACTAAACAGAAAGATCTATTTGGTTATTTTAAACATTAAAACGATCCTAAACATTTTCAGTTTCTTTTAAATTTCTATGGTTTTATTCCCGAATAAGTGATGTGAGAATGGCGAATTGCAGTCATTTCTTTTCTTTCACTATTTTTTATTTTCAAATAGAAAGTTTAAAAGTAAAGAATAATTAGAATTTGGCATGTGTCGGTCAAACAGGCTGAATTTCAAGTTTTGGCCCGTTTTGATCAAGTTTAATTTATAATCACATGGTTCCCTGATACCCGATAAAAATCTCAATCCAAACTAGTTTGGCAGGTGAGTCCGTATTTACCACCGTTTTCTATGGATACGACAACGGCGGTTCCTATCCCAAATCGTGTTGTTTCTTCTTGATTTCCTTAGATTTTATCATGGCCTGACAAAAACCAGAAAGCACAATGACGACAAGATGAAAGTTTTATAAAGCAAATTAATCGGCCAACGGGCCGAGTAAAAGCTAGCAACAATTGTGAGATGCTCATTTCCGAAAACCGACGGGATAGGCAATTTTTTATTCGATTTTCTAGAATTCGGTTACTATAAAACTTACTCCACCTCATCATATTACCAGAAACAATATTGTTTCACAAGGTAACAGGTACTTGATTTTGGTTTATAAGGCCGATTTTTGATTCGTTGCATCATTCATGTCGCTTTCCTGCTAAAATTCACTATTTTTATCACGTGTTTCCAAAAAAAAAATATACAACAATAAGCTATACACCCCATTACATTATCAAATTTCATACCTCACCTTCCTCCGCCCAACTGGCCTGGGCCACACTAGTATTTTCCGACACAGGTGGTAATTGGAAAGGAAGGCCAATGCTTTACCGATTACTCCATTTCAAAAATTCATTACAAATTTTATACGTAATTTCACAAAACTATAACCGCCGCCTAATTGCGGAACTGCTTCTTCAATGCATGTGCGGTATAGGAGACGGTTTGGGATAGGGTCAGTAACCAATGGTTACTGACCTATCAGTAAATACAGGGGAACCGTAGATGTGGGAATGGAGCAATCGGGTGGTTGGCTGGACGCGGAGGTGGAATGGGCATTTTTGTCCGTTTTTGTATTTTTACTTTTTTTTTATTTATTCCGCATTTCAATGTCTGACTTTTCAATGAAAGAGAAAGAATAACCTTTTCTCTGCAACTCTATTTTCTTCTTTCTCTCTTCCTTCTCTCTTTCTTTTTCCAATCTCTTTCCAGCTCCTTTCTCTATTTCTTCTCTTACTTTTTCTCTCTTCCAACTTTATTTTTTTTCTCTAGCAATCGACTAATAAAAATTGAAGTCACCCTCTTTAATTGCGTTTCTTCTCTTCATCAACTCGTTGGCTTTAATTTCGATCTTTCTCCTTTTTTGGCGTTTGGTGTTCTTTGGTTGCGGATGAAATGAGATGAGACAGAAGACAAGTTTTTTTTTCTCTCCCTCCTTTTGTTTTTTCCCCTTTCTTTTAGATAATATATATTGGTATTACCACACTATACCATATGGTATTATGTGGTAACGAAATATATATTGCTATTACCACTCTATACCATATGGTATTACCACACTATACCATATGGTATTGGGTGGTAACGAAATATATATTGATATTACCACACTATACCATATGGTATTGGGTGATAACGAAATATATATTGGTATTACCACTCTATACCATATGGTATTGGGTGGTAACGAAATATATATCGATATTACCACACTATACCATATGGTATTGGGTGGTAACGAAATATATATATTGATATTACCACACTATACCATATGGTATTGGGTGGTAACGGTATGATCTTATTTAATACCAGTCAATACCATATGGTATGACTGGTAATAACTGGCAAATTTTTTTATGTCCAAAAAATATCAAAGTGGATATCATTTTGAAGAGCACAATTAATTTGATCTAACTGTGCAAAAAAAATTAAATTCCGACTTAATACGAGTGAGAAATCATCTGTTAAAGATTAAGAGAATGAAAATTAAAGGTTTTTCGAGGAGAGAGGAGGCGTTGACGTGGTCTGGTCAAAAGTCAGGATTGGCAATAAATAGGGGCAAGGGCAATTTTACTTTACTGTCCTTTCACATTTAATTTAAATAAAAAAAGGAACTAACACGTGGAGACAAGGGAAGGAGTTACTGATGGGTTACTGACCCATCAGTTACTGACCTGATCTGGTCCCATAGGAGACACCAAATCAGGGGCGGATCCACGGGTGATTGGGTGTCCCGTCACCCGTGACACTCCTAAATTTTGAGAAAAAGATTATTCAATCCCCGGTGGTAAATTACGTATGGACAAAAAAAAATATAATTGATAGTCGGGGACACCCCTGAAATTTGAAAAATAATTATCCTACTCTCATCTTTTAGTTTGGGTATGGGGAATATAAGTTGTAGTTTGAGTAATTCAAACCCAGTACACTATTATTATTAATAAAAATAATTCTCTTTAGACTACAACTCATTTTTTGTTCGATTTTAAAAACTATGTAATAGTAAAATGTCATTCCCTATCTCTAATTATTTTCAAAACCTAACAATTAAATAAATTATTTTAAACACTGTTGTACGACAAGTGTTGAAAGAGTCTTTTCAGCTTTGAATTACATCAAGAACAAGTGTAAAAATCGAGAGTTCGTGAACGATTCTAGTAGGATATACAAAGAGAATTTTTTTTTAGCAGTGTAGACACCAAGTGTATTTTACAATTATTTTAGAATATGAAAACACATCGTGAACTTTTTTTAACTCGTACGATTCATGTACTTTCTTATATAAGAATTTTTTAATTTTTATTAATTTTTCAATAATTATATAAATTTAATTTTTTAAAAAGGACACCTCCTATGTAAAATTTATGGGTTGGCCACCGCACCAAATGACACTTTGGAATGAGACTTTTTTCGCATCGAGCTGGAGCTCGACCGATGACACCAAATGGTGTAGTCGGCGGCCACCTGGTGAAAGTTACGCATGTCTTACTTTGTCTGACCAAAACCAAACACAAATGGCCGTATTCCCAGTTTGCAATTACGGCCAATTTGCGGTTGAGACCGCCCCCAGATACTATTATTGGCCCTCCCAAAGACCCAAACTCGATTTCGACTTCTAATCGGTACGTTAGCCGTGACCTGACCCAACCCCTTGCTTGCTTTTATACGCCCCTTTGACGCAACCCTTAATACCGGTGGGTAGCAGAAAGAAAGGAAAGAGGACAATTAGAAATGAACTTCCCCAGTTCATCACTCTTTCCTCAAGGTCAAAAAAGAAAAGTAAAACCCTAATTTTGCTTTCTTTCTTTCCTTCGTGGTTTCTCGATAAGGATTTGATGATGATGATGATGAGGCATCCATGTGTAACGCTCGTCCTTACCTTTATATTACCAACTCAAAAAGTTACGTGTCTAATTCGCGCTTCTATATATACCCTCCTCCCTCCATATTCATTCATTCCTTCCACCAAACCTAAATTCCTCTTCTCCGATTAATTACGCAACAACAATATATAGCTCCGAGATCCCAAATGGCGACTGCCAACGGCCACCACCACAACTCTCCCCCGCCGGCCGCCAGATGGTCTCTCCACGGCATGACCGCCCTCGTCACCGGCGGCACTCGCGGCATCGGGTAATCCTTTTTTTTTTTTTCCTCCTCCTTCTAATTCCCTTTAATATCTCTACGATTCCCTGTAAAAAATTGCGGCGATCTGATCGTGCATGGAAGGTACGACGTACGTGACGCTGGAAAAAAAAAAAAAAAAAAAAAGAGAGCGGCGGATGTGAATGTGATGGTGGGTGGATGGATCTCATCTGCCGATTCATTTCCCTTTCTTCCTCTGTCCCCTTCTCCAGGATTCTAGGAAGAGGGGACCAAGAATTGATCCAACTTTTCGGGCCCAAAGCCCATTCTTTTTAGTTTGTTAATTGTGTCATACTTGCTAAAGTAGACATGGGTTTGGATTTCGGCTTGGGCTTGGTCTTGGGCTGGGCTTTATTGTTTTTTTTTTTTTTTTCAGGAGTGCGACTGTGGAGGAACTAGCTGGGCTGGGAGCGAAGGTCCACACGTGCTCGCGAAACCAGTCGGAGCTCGACCACTGCTTACAGCAATGGAAAGCGAGAGGCTTCTCCGTCACCGGCTCGGTATGCGACGTGTCGTCGGCGTCCGAGAGACAGAAGCTCGTACAGGAAGTTGGCAAGATTTACAATGGCACTCTCAATATCCTCGTAAGTCAACAAACTTTTTTTTCCGTTCCGTTCCGTTCCGAATCGAGTATCGAATTCGATTGTTGATTGGATTGGATTGGATTCGGCGGACAGGTGAACAATGTTGGGACGAACGTGAGGAAGCCCACTACAGAGTATTCAACGGAGGAATACCTGAGACTGATGTCCGTGAATTTGGAGTCGTCGTACCATCTCTGCCAGCTGGCCCACCCGCTTCTCAAGAAGTCCGGAGCTGGGTCCGTCGTCTTCGTCTCGTCGGTGGCCGGGGTTCTCCACATTGGCAGCGGCTCCATTTACGGTCTCTCCAAAGGTCTGTCGAGTCGTGCCCGCAAACTGTTCGATGAAAGTCCTGACTGAATGTCACCCGGCATGCCTAATTTTCTCTCTGTTGTTTTTTTCTCTGGCATCAGGTGCAATCAATCAGCTGACCAAGAATCTGGCCTGTGAGTGGGCAAAGGACAACATCAGGGCTAACTGCGTGGCTCCTTGGTACACCAGAACTTCCCTCGTTGAGCATGTAAGTAAATTTTAACGGCGCTCTCCTTTCGTGGCCGTGGCATTTTCGGGTTGTTTGTTAATGCTGGGTTCTAAACTCTGGGTTTTGCAGCTGCTTGAGAAGAAGGATTTCTTGCAGCAGATAGTGGCAAGAACGCCGCTCCAGAGGGTGGGAGAGCCTCACGAAGTGTCGAGCTTGGTGGGGTTTCTGTGCCTGCCAGCAGCTTCATACATCACTGGACAAGTAATCTCTGTGGATGGAGGAATGACTGTGAATGGATTCAATCCTCCAATCAACCTAGATTGAAACAAACTGGCAGCAGCATCTTCCTAAATCAAATATGATTGCTTTTTTTTCCAATCTGCATTGTAGGTATTCTAGGTCTATCAAATGTTGGGGGATCTAAATTGGCTAGTAATGAATAAAATGATTTCTGCCCTGATCTCAGTTTTCTTGTTCGGTGGGAAGCTTTGATGATCTCGATTCGTTGGTATTTGGATGCAAGATTTGAATCGTTCATGATTTCACCTTTCGCCAAACCCTCAAGCATGCCCACCAGACCCAGCTCACTAGAAATCGTTTTCACTTTCAGTCCCCAAATCTTTCATGGATTCTTTATTTTGTTGGTACCCAAGAACACCTCCAGCTGAATTTGGATTAGTATGTTGTGTCTATCTACTGTCAAAGCCTTAGCAGAATCCTCTCAAATTCCTCAAGCATGGTTATTTTATCCATTTTGTTCAAATTTCCGACTCTGTCATTGTTGATGTTGTACACTCAATCGGCAAATAGACATGATGCTAGATAAAGTTTTTATGTAAATTGAATCAACTAAGTTCTTTACATAGCATTCTTATGTTTTGTAGAACTTACAAGTTCTTTTGGATAAGTTATAATTATAAGTAGTAAACATGATTTTTATGAATAAGGTGAATGCAGTGTAAGGGTGAAAAAGATTGAAAGACTCATAAATATCTTGATCGTGCACCAGGAATCCAGGGCAAGTTGTCACTAGCGAACAGCAAACCTTTTTCATGCATGACTTCATTGAAGTTTGCAGGTTCAAATTCAATGGTTCATTAAAAACTCAGTCCTTCTTGCTTCATCATTTCGCTGAAATCCATGGCATATCACAGCAAACATAAACTAGATATGATCCCCCTGTGGTAAATGACTTACATGCCTTTGTGTTTATGTCACGTAACCCGACGTCCTCAATGTTCAACGCGCTCCTCCTTTTTCTAGCTTGCTCCTACCGCGCGCCTCGTCCCTACACACGAAGGCGCCCACCGAGCCCCTTACTTAGGGCTCGTTAGCACTCCGACGCCCAAGTTAGAACAGTCTTTCTAGAGAGAGAAGTGAAGTGTAATTTTAGAGAGAAGTTCCAACCTGAGTAAATGAGTTCCACCCACTTCGCTATTTATACTCGGTGTAGGGCCGATCATTGCCCCCCAAATCCGCCCTACGTCATCATACCATTAAATGCATTGTACTACTACCATGCCAGGCGCCCTGGCACTCTGACAGACTCTCCCGGGTCCTGAGGCGCCCGGCCCCACTTCTTGTCCCCTCCGTACGCTCCTGACCGTTGCCCCCCTGCTTGTCGCTATGCGCCCCCTCTAGGCTGGGACCCACTGCTCAGGTCACAGTCCTGGGCCTTCTCTTGGGTCGGGTCTTCCCCTTGGTAGACCCCAACTCCCCATCTGCTGGCCCCTTTGGGCTTCCCTCTTGGGCCCTTAAGTGCCCCCAACACCTTGTTTCCTACTTTCCTTACTACGATGTTACATACAATTTTGTAGATCAATGTTAACACAATTTTTTATAATGAAAACGAATGCTACCCTATTTCATTAACATATATAACATTTAACATCGTTGCTCAAAAACATGATCCAATATACAAGAGATGCATCAGCAATGTCAATAACATGAAATGATTCACTCAATTGAGTGTGTTACCATCGAGTGCTTACGAGGTGTTTATATAGTTACTTTATATCCAACATCCATCGGTAGTTCTCTATTCACTAGGAGAACTAAATGCAAGCCACTATTTCGAACTCTTCGTCTTAAGCTAAGTGGATGGTGTTGGTGTAATTGGATCTTCGAGAATATATGGTCGGATGCTTTTTTTTAATGATGTGAATACCCCTCATCATTCATGAGTTCATTTTCGTTGTCTAACAATCATTCTCTTATTCATATACTACACGATTATTAAATGAAAGACCACACATTCGGAGATTGATTATCACATTATTTGACAACAATCAAGTTAATCTCTTTTTCTCATATTTCTCAAAAATCAACTCGCATACTTTCTTAGTTGTTCGCGACATGTAATTGTAATCCTAAGCTTAAAGGGAGGGGGGAGGGGTATAAGGAAATAAGGTTGGACAAGCATTGGTTGGAATCGAGCTAGAGGTGTTATTCTATCATTTTCTAAACAAATTATATTTTTTTGTATTTGGAGTGGACCAACCAAGATTAATTAGCTTTAAAATATATGGAGTTTCCCCTTGTTAAGTGAAAAAACTATATATGTCATATTCATCATTTTGGTGCATTAAAGAGTAAACTATACTAAAGAAAAATCATTTACTTTTTCTCGTTTTATTTCATCATTGTGAATGATAGATTGTGAATACTAAATGACTTGCTAAACTATACTTATTTAAAATGATTCTTGGTGACCATCCAAACCAACCTCAAAATATTGACCATAATCATGTAAAAAAGAATTTACAGGAGCCATATTTTACAGAGATAGAATGATAAATTAATGTATTTACATAAAAACAAACCACGTAATCGACGACGAGTTATAGACTCGCGACAAGTGGCAACACGTTCAAATGCATGAAGTATCTACGTCTGACAAATGATCTAGGTAAAGAATATGAAGGTGTTCACTAACTTCAACATCAATAACCTGCCACATGTAAGACTCACTTTTTGGTGACTAGAACGTTTTGAAGACAGTCAATCAATATTGACATGATCGTACACGTGTGAAGATATCCTCTTATTACGTAGCCGTTTTCATTAGATCACTGAAACGACCGTAACGAGCCAAAAGTATCATATTGGAGTAGCCCTCCTTCCAATCTTGATCACCCTTCTTTTCAAGTGCGCCCTCATTTACAGTATATTTTAAAAAGAAAAAAAAATATCATACTATTTTTGAAGATTCATATTATTTTCTCATTTATCTTGATAAAATAATGATCAAAGTATCTTAATTTATGTAGCCAAATAATAAGATGAGATTGTACTTCGAGTCTCAATATAATTAAGAGCGTATTCCCTTCTCTATATGACACAAGTGTTAAAGACCAACCACTATTGAGCCATCTTTCATTAGGTAGCGGGAAAGATGGTAAATGCTCAGCTCAACCATGACAATTGATGAAATCGTATTATGTTGCAAAAACCTCCAATCCATTGTCCATCGCGATGTCTAAAAAATACTCTTGGTATTGACATGCCTTGGTTGCCACAAGAAGCACCATTAATATTGAGTTTAATCTATACTAGTGGGGAGATTCCATCAAACTAGTCGAGAGAAACTTCAACATATTGGTTTTGGTTTACTTGCTCGTGTATAATAATTCATAATAAACGTGTAACAGGATGCTATAACCGGACAATCTCATTCTAATATGGATTGAGAGCAAAACAAGTGCAAGCAATACAAAATGAGAAGATATTTTCATGGAAAGAAACATCTCCTCAAACAATAATTGCATAGCAAATGAAGTTGTATACAAAGACGTGCTCTGGATAAATACGAAGATGTGCTCTTAAAATCAGTTTTATTTCGAGTATCTGAATGGTGAAGGCATATGTAAGACGATAAAAAACCCCTCAAGTGTGAGACTTGGTGGTCGTTCAGTGCTTATAGAACTTTTCAAAAGGAGTTTTGTGTTGGAAAAAGAGGCATGAGAGATCTGTTGATCAAATTAGGAGCATCATGCCTGCAAATATGTCTGATGTAAATGATCCACAACGATAAGAAAACAAATTTAACTGATAGACCATTAATTGCACATGTTTATACCTCAATTCTTGAGCCATTTGAGAGTCGATTCTCGTGTTTTAAGTCGATTTCACGCTAGGTTGTGCGTTTATGTCATATTTCAGGACTTTGCGTTGACGTGAAGGCGAGGAAACGAGTTTCAGTTCAAAAAGGAGGACGGTGGAGTAAAAGGGCGATGGAAGAAGAAAATACCCGGTCAGGGGTTGAAATACCCGACCGGGTAAAATGCAAGAGGAGGCCGGGTAAAATTGGTTTGGACGTCAGAATTCCAGAAGGAGTCCCGGTCGGATAGCAAAAATACTCGATCGGGTATTAAGCCCTTTCCGATGTGCAGCGTTTCAAAATACCCGGTCGGACACCTGAAATACCCGACCGGGTATTATGACCGGGAATCGCGATCTGTTCCCTTTTGAGGGGGAAAATGCGAATCTTACAAGGGTTCTGAGTTTTAGAGAAAGACAGCATATATCTAGAGAGATAGCGACGAACCAGAATCTCCAAGCGCCCTAGATCGATCTTCATCGCCATTGGAGCTCGACTTAAGCTTGGAGAAGTGTTGATTGATTACCAGAAGCAGAATCTTATCCTTCATAACATGTTTTCTGCATCTGAGCTAGATTTCCCTTCTCTGTCTATGGAGTTGACTCTCTCACTCACCTTGGTATGAAGAACCCTAGATTTGTATGTTAGATCTGATTGTATGAACCCAAGTACAAATTCATTGATATTGATTATATTCAATTGAGGTTTGATTTCCTGAATTGCATGAATCCTGATCAAATTCCTGTTATTTCTGCTTTGACCTATAAAGAGAATATCTGCCTAGGTTGATAAGCACCCTTGATTGAAAGTAGTGAATTGACGACTTTAGTCGAGGAGTCAATTCACTATTTTGTACCGAATTTACTCCGATAGAGGAGGTTTGGTTCGTTAGGGCCTCAATCTGTTTACTCCGGTGGAAGTTAGTCACCCGCTGGGGACTCAGATTGAGAGGGTTTGGAGACCTTTAGTCCAGAATACAGACTGTCTAAGAACCTCCCGCAGTATAATTATCATTGAACTTGAACTTGGTGAATTACAACCTGGGTTAACTGGAGTCTAGGGGGAACCATATCTGGGTGACCTTTCTCAACTTTGAACATAACTTTCACTGCTCTTGCTTGCTAGTTAGTTAGACCTTCACTACACTTGAACCGCTAAATAATAAAACTTTCACGGAGTAGTCATCACACCTACGACCCGAGTTGACATTTATAACTAAACCCGCTATACTATACATTAGTAGGTGGTTACACTTGGCCACTGTCTAGTGTGACAGTAGAGTCGTGTCATTAACCATATGTACACCATTATATTTATAGCTCCATTGTTCATATAATACCAAGGATTTTGTCTCTTCCTAAATCTCAAAAATTATGTGCGATTTGAAAACCGTTGTTGTGTCAATATGAAATCCATAGTGTGAAGAATTACAGTCAGAGGAATGTCGTCGTTGCCAAGGGGATGAAGAATTTATCGATGTTGTCATATAGGTGAACGAATCTAGATTTAGCATAATAGAAAAGAGGACAAAATGAAAACGAAAGAGGGAGGGAGGGAGAGCAAGAGCTCAGTATAGCTCTCATACCATACTAGAAATACAAAATAATTTTCATCGATCAAGCGTTCGATTGTCGCAGACTGATTTAACAGATCGTCGATGATCGTCGCTTTTATATGGAGAGCTCGGGTAGAAAGAAAGAGTGAGTGACAAAGTTTGTTAACAACCTAACATACAAAACTTCGTTCCAAAAGTGTGCTACTAATTTCGAATTTTGAGATCGAGATTCAAACTTTTAGAATGGGAGCTTGGTTGGACCGGCGAAATGGTCAATTTTGTGAGGGTTAATTGTAGCGGGTTAGCAATTACTCGCAAAACCTCTTAACCAGCAAACAACCCATTTCAATACCGGCGGCCGGCCGGCCGCCAACCACACCGGTTTGGATTCCGCTAACCAAACACCGTCCCAAGTCCCACCTTCCCACCAAAATTTAGGGTGCGGATAGTATAACAACACCTTAAGTGTTGTTATAACAACAATAGGATTCATTAAGAGTAATAGGATAATTTAACATAAAAAATAAAATCTATTTAATCCATCTCGAATTTTTGATGCTGCGAAATCTTCCCTTCCCCGATTAGGGATTCTCCTCCGCCTCCGCCCAGCTTTTCTTCTCCGCCTCACTATTCTTTTCGTCCAGACTCGGAGTTTCATGGTTATACTATCCGCACAAACAGCTTCCCTATGCTCTCAAATGTCATCTGCGCAAACAGGGTTCAAATTCGAATCTTGATTTGATTCCTAATGACACATCAATTTTCAATTCATAAAAAAAAAGTGGTACCTTTCTGGCTTCGTGAAACTCGTTGACGGTGCCCCTCTGGGCCCAGGACCGGAGCGAAGCGGCGATGATCGGCTGGTTGAGTTGGGCGATCCGGCGGAGAGCTCTGGGCTGGTTGATTGCCGCCGAAATGAAGTTCCTCATCCGCTTGTGACTCCGCCCCAGCGCCGCCGTCAGCGAGTGGTGGCCCACCAGGTCGTTGGGAGGAAAGTTGGGCGGAGGCGGAGTTTCTTCTTCTTCTCCTCTCCATCTGGCTGCTGTCGTTCTTCCGATTGCATTTGGCGGTGAAGTTGGACCGGGGGATGTCACTGTTCGGTGGAGGAGGAGAGGAGATCATCACTACTCATCATCATCATCTTGGTCTGATAATCATGGGCTGACTATGGGCGAATGGATGGAGCCAATAAGCTGATCAGGAAGAGATCTGGGGATCGGTTTCATGGTAATAGTGTCGATAATGTTAGCTTGGATTTACGTTGGAGATTGGCGTCATTACCGAGTCGAAGTCGTCCAAGAACCACCATCATCATCATGACCAACAACAACAGCTAAACTTGGAGCTCCGATTAGGCATTTGATTAGTTCCATGTCTTGGTATATAATTACAATCGTCGTTATAATTATCACATGCATTCACATGTACTGCTAGACATGATCTCATATGTAACTATGTTAATGTTTCTTCTTCAGAGTTAATTGACAGATCACCCAGCATTGATAGAGTAAGTAAGCAATTAAAAAAAATGGTTGTTTGTAGACGCCGAAAATCTTCTAGTGCAAACCACAAACGCAATAAAACAATCCACAAAAAATATACCGGAAACCTCCTAATGCAAACCACAAATTTGCTAAAACATATCAGAAACCTCACAAAGCATACCATAAATATTTTGAAAAACACACCAGAAACCCCTTAATGCAAACCACAAACACGGTAAAGCAAACCAAAAACGTCCTAATGCAGACCATAAATATATTAAAACAAACCAAAAACCTCGCAAAGCAAACCACAAAAGTTTCGAAAGCACACTAGAAACTTCTTAATGCAAACCAGAAACCTCCTAATGCAAACCACAAATCTCCTAAAACAAACTAGAAACCCCACAATGCAAACCACAACATTTGCAAAAGCACACCAGAAACCTCCTAATGCAAACCACAAACACAGTAAATCAAACCACAAAAAAGCAAACCATAAACGTCCTAATGCAAACCACAAATATATTAAAAGAAACCAGAAACCTCACAATGCAAACCACAAAGTTTTTGAAAGCAAACTAGAAACTTCTCAATGCAAAACACAAACACGATAAAGCAAACCAGAAACTTCTTAATGCAAACCACAAACACGATAAAGCAAACCACAAAAGACATACGAAAATATGAGAAACCAAACCATAAATCTCACAATGTAGACCATACATCCGGTGGTCGTTGACCGTTGACCGGTCAACGAAGACCGTTGACCGAACTCCGGTGACCGTCAGTCAGTAGATTCCGACGCCGATATGCATATTCCGGCCCCGATGACTAGATTCCGACGCCGGTAAGCATATTCCGACACCGGTAAGCATATTCCGGCGACAAAAAGCATATTCCGGTGACCGGCGACCAGTTTCCGGCGACCATTGACAGAATTCCGGCGACCAAATTTTTAGGCAGAAAATAAAAAAAATTATTTAAACAGATTTTTCATAATGACAATTATACTCCTGTTTTGATTTTACACTAGGTCAACTCATCTAATAAAAAGTCATCACAATCCTAATTTCCTATTGGTTGGAGACCGGTGTTATTCAATAACAACACAAGGGGTGTTGTCATAGTAACCGGTCCCCAAAATTTACCATCCCAAAGTAAAAGGTAAAAAGTTAAAACGGTGGGGGAGGAAGGAAGGGAAAGACAGCAGTAGTCTTGGTTTGATGCAACACGTCGTAAACTCGTAATACGCGTGGAGGGACGAATGTAACACGAATCTCGTATTTGACGATCTCCGCCACGTGGTGATATCATCCACAATATAATAATCGAAAAAAAACTAAAATAGTTTTCCGCAGCAAAAAGGAAAAAGGAAAAACAATAATATTTCCACAGACTCTCTCCTCCTCTCCGCCTAGTACAGCACCACATGCGTGTCAGAAAAGGATGGTCGCTCCAACGAACCGTGTAGCTCCCTCATTGGTCCACGTACCCACCCTCCCAAAAAGTTCCGGTGCACGTGGTCGATTGTCGTGAGGAGAGAGAACGATGGACGGCCGAGATTGTAAATTATCGGTCCTACCCCGCCCCCCCTTTGCCCTTACCTTCCTACTGCCCGGATTCAATTCAATTGATCAACGTCATTCCAACTGGCCATGTCGGATCTCCGCTGCCCGTGACGGTGACGGGCACCCCTGCCCGTCGTCCCTCAAAAAAAGAATGATAAAAAATATTGTACTGCGGGGCCCACACTCCCTCCAGGCGAAAAAAGCTTCTTCTTCCCCATCCCTCCCCACCTTCCTTCCCATCGCCATTTTATTACCCTTCCCCATCCTCCTCTTCCGGGGATCTCTCTTCTCTCGTCTCCTCTCTTCTCTCTCTCAAATAATTTTAATTGGATCGAATTCAAAGGAATTGTTTTCGCGCGGTGATCTGTTCGAATTTCCCATTCCGTGAAGAGGATTTTTCGCTAGACATGGCCGAGATTTGCTGTGGGTTTGTTGGTGACAGTGACGCAGCTGCTCCGGTGGAGCCGAGCGTGAAGGCTTCACGGCGGAGGAGGTTGGACCACCGCTCATTCTCGCTTGCCGCGGATTTGACGGCCTCCCCCGACGACACCAGCCGGAAACAGCGCAAGCTCGTTCCGTCCGGCGGTGGTGCGAGTAGTAGTAGCTCGGCCCCGCGTGATTGCCAGAACGCCGTTGAGAATTCCAGGCCGAGCGGCGGGGGAGCGAATTTCGTGGGGCAGGAGGGTGAGGTGGGTGATTCGGTGGCGAATGAATCAGCTGTGAGGCCGGAGCAGAGTTGTGCAGCTCCGGCTCCGAAATTTGGCTTGACTTCGGTTTGTGGTAGGAGGAGGGATATGGAAGATGCGGTGACTGTGCAGGCATCATTTGGCCGGGAAGGGACTTCTTTCTTCGGCGTGTTTGATGGCCATGGCTGCTCTCATGTACGAGCTTTAAATTCATTTTCTTTTCCCATGTTGTTTCAGCTTTTGTTTCGCCAGAACACGAGTAACTAATTTCTTTCCTGTGGACCTTTTCTTAGGTCGCTATGAAGTGTAAAGATCGGCTACACGAGATAGTGGAGGAAGAAATCCGGAGCTACGGCCAGGAGAATTCAATCGAATGGAAGGAAACCATGGAGCGGAGCTTCGCCAGGATGGACGGCGAGGTCGGAGACTGGAGTACCGACGAAGCCGCAAAGGCCACCGCTTGCCGATGCGAGCTCCAGACTCCGCAGTGCGACGCCGTTGGATCCACCGCCGTCGCCGCCGTGGTGACCCCGGACAAAATCGTCGTCTCCAACTGCGGCGATTCCCGTGCCGTCCTTTGCCGTAACGGCGTCGCTGTCCCGCTCTCTTCCGATCATAAGGTAACGGAACCCACAAACAGAATGTAACTTTTCCCGATTTAGTTTCCGCCTTGTGTGAAATTATCTGTGGTCCCGTAATTGTCGTGGTCCGTGGGTTCGTGTCTGATACCGGTTAATTCTCTGCAGCCTGACCGGCCCGACGAGTTGCTCCGGATTCAAGCCGCCGGCGGCCGAGTAATCTACTGGGACGGCCCGAGAGTCCTCGGAGTTCTGGCCATGTCAAGAGCAATCGGTAAGATCTGGACCTATCACGCCTCGATCTGAATTTTTTTTTCCCAATTCCAATTCCTGTTTCATCCTTTTTCTGAATCGAAAGTTCAATTCCTTTTTCAGGGGATAACTACCTGAAGCCATACGTGATTCCGGAGCCGGAGGTGACCGTCACAGAACGAACAGGAGACGAGGAATGCCTAATCCTCGCAAGCGACGGACTATGGGATGTGGTGTCGAACGATACCGCTTGCGGAGTCGTTCGGATGTGCCTCCGAGCACAGAAGCGGCCGTCGCCGGCGGCAGCGGAAGGATCTCCGGCGAGCGAGGCCGCCGTGGGGAGCGGGTCCGATAAGGCGTGCTCCGACGCCTCCATGTTGCTGACAAAGCTGGCACTCGCCCGGCACAGCACTGACAACGTCAGCGTCGTGGTGGTTGATTTGAGACGCAAGTCCAAACCTGGAAAACCTTGATTGGGCTCGGATTTTGAAAAAAAAAAAGAAAAAAAAAGTGGATTGGGGAATGGCGGGATTTAATATATATCTACAGTTCTATACGTATATAGATTAGAACCAGTTTTAGGCTTTCTGGAATCAAAAGAACAGAAGGTTTTTTCCTGTCTGTTTTAGTTTTTTCCTATGATCTTCCTATGGAACTGCAGAAATGTGCAGATTCTGGGGAAGATTATGTAAGTGGGGATAATTGGGATACTTGGAGAATATATGAAATCAAAGTCTCAATTTGTAAATTAGAGATGAGAACTTCTGGTCAGTTCTCAATCGAGCATTCGAAGCTTCGATTCGCCCTGATTTACGCTACGATACCCGAGCAGCCGAAAGAACGGTTGTTGGATCAAAATTTTTTTAACGAATTCCGGTACATCTACCGTCACAGTGAAGTATGATTGGGATTTTAATTGAGTGATTCATCGTCGTCCTGTTGTCATCTGATGAAATTGAACAATTCTGGGTTAAAAGAGACCATATGCTGGCTTCATCTATACACTAGCCGGAGTGATTGCCAATTCAGAATCACTCCGATCAAGGTATCCCTGTCTTTTGATTTGTCTCTGTTTCGCCACTAGATATCGAGGTTAAATCATCGTCATATTTAAATTCGCAATCAAGAAGTAGCCAAGCGGATCGAGCTCGTTGATACATAATGGGAGGAAATTAAGGCTGCTGTTGATATTTTGAAATTTGTGGGAAGTGCAGATTGTTGGTGGTGGTGGTGGCCGGCGGGAAGACATTCGGAGTTCTCGGAGCTCACACCGCCGCGGGGAAAACTGTGTGCGCAGTGCAATGATATTATTATTATTATAATGGCAGAGAGTTGACAGAAGAAAGTGGTTTAATGGAGGGAGAGAGTGGTTTTGTTTGTTGATGAGGGAAGGTCGTAATCAAGGAGGCGTGGTGGTGGTGATGTCGTAGTTGGGCGGAGAGCTGTGGGGGGGTTACGTGTAATGAGGAGAGGGATTCGTGCAAATGCAATCACAGTCATCGTATAATTCGGTCGCCAGCCAGCGAGGGAAGGAAGGAAACCCCGAAGGGGAGGGGAAAAAGATTGGGAAACCAGGCATGGCTGGGGAAGGAAGGAAGGAAGAGTGGATAGAGGGGTAGATATTAAGATTAGATAAATTCAAATTCTAGCCATGGATTTCACGAATTTGGTTTTTTTTTTTTTTTAATTCCTTCATCCGCCTAGAATTAAATTGTCCCGGAAATCTCATAAACGTGAGGATTTGAGGTAAAAATTAACATTCGCAAACTCAGTTATTCAAACGATCTCTAAATGTGTGGGGTTCAGAATGTTAATGAGTTTGGATGTAAAGATTTAAGCAAAATAACTCGTTTGATATCGAGCGTGAATTTCTAAAAAGAGAACACAACAAATACAAATTTATACTCTCAACCTCTTCCTCTTCTCAGTTATCAACATTAATGCATAAAATCTTACAAGCAGAGAAAGCAGGAATTCATTTTTCGTCCAAATTAATTAGGAGCAGGAATTGATGACGAAACTGTCATAAATCTCTCGCACATGGAACCTTAAATTCAATTCGTGGACGATGAAATCCCTAACCCGGAAAGGAGCGTATAATCGTTTTCCAACTGGTGGCTCTTTGCTTGCCGCCCCTTCACTTCCTTCTTTGATTGGTTCCGTGCACTCGGAGAATCTATCCTCCCTGAACTCTGATTCAATGTCGTCTTCCTTTGCAGGAATATATGGGAAGCCAGAGGATAAAATGTGTTTTTGAAAGATATTATCCTAACCTCCAAATATATGTATGCAAACTATCGCAACTTTCAAATGATCCCTAGATTCAAATCTGCAACCAATTGGTTTCTTCCCATTTCGATTGGTGAAATAAAAGTTAGATATTACTGAGAAAAAAGAAGGCCGTGGCTGGCAATAGTTTTTTATTTTTATTTTTTTTTATGATAATGAGATATTAACACAATAATTAGTGATGGAATGGAGTTTGGGCCTTAGGGAGGAGGGGCCCAGGTGGGTCGCTGCTGGTATGCCACTTTTGGCCTTTGGGGGATAGCTGGAAGCCACGGTCGGCTGGCTGGCTGCATTATTATTAATTTAATGGAATTTGTTGATTCCAATTCTTCGACGGGACGTGGAAGGTTAGGGATGCTGACGATACACGACTTGATGAGGGGACGACACGTGTGATGGGAGGATGGTGTTTGGATATGGGCATCGCTGCTTTGGTTTGGTTTGGCGTAGATTTGGTCAGATCTTTTGATGTGGACTCGACGGACTTACAGCTCGCCTTCTTTACCTTCGCCTTTATTTTCTTTCCTTCCTTTTCGCACTGCTTGCCAAAAGATTCCAGCTCAGCCTTACTGCCCCAGTATTAGTAAATGGTAATTACCAATTAACAGGGATTAATATAATACTTAGTATTTATATTTTATTTTAAAAAAGTTTTTCGGAGTGTCGGAATCTGATTGCTAGATGATCGAGACTAGTCCACAACAGATTAACACTCGCCGGTTAGGATGTCGAATTATGATTGGTTGGCGGCCCAAAGGCCGTTACGCTCATTCTTATACCCTGATTCACTGTAGACTAGGGTCGTACCCTAAACACAATCATACGACAAACAAGTAAGGGAATAGCTGCAACAAGTAGGGGGTGTGCAACGGTTCAGTCCAGCCCCAATCGAACCAAATTTATGAGAACCGCGATCCATTAGTAAAATACATCTAAGGATCAAGGACATGACCATCATTCCATTCGATACATTTGGTCCGGTCCAAATTTAGTTTGGTCCATCATTTTTTCGTTAAGTAATTATAAAACATGTGAACCAAGGACCGGACCAATTTCTGTTCAGGCCGATGCGGTCCGGTCCAAACTTCAGTTTGGTCCCGTGCGGTCCGTTATGGACAGGACCATTGCATATCCCCAAGGTTGTCAAACCGGATTAAATCGTCAAGCCGGTTTGGCAAGAGGTTTAAGGTTTAATGGTTGGATCGGGATTCAACCGGTTTAAGCCGGTTTTGATAGAATAGGTGGATAATGGATATAAGAAAGCCATTTTTTGTAACCAATTTTAGGCCAAAAGCCCAAAACCCATGAAAAGAAATAAATAACATGACCCATTCCATAAGCCCAGCAAAACCCTAAGAACCCAATTACCCAACAAAATCATCTCCCTAAAATAAGCAGCAGCCGCCGCCTAAATAAACCCTAATAAACCCAAATAAACCCTAAGAACCCAATTACCCAACAAAATCATCTCCCTAAGATAAGCAGCAGCCGCCGCCTAAGCCTATACACACCCACAATGGGTTTTAATGACCCGAGAGAGAGAAAGAGGGAGGGAGAGAGGGAGAGATCTGCCAGCGACCCAGAACCTGCCGGACAAAAGGAGCCGTCGTCGGAGCTGGGAACGAACGGCGAGGCAGGGGTCGAGGAGCGAACGCAAGCATAAGGATGAAGGTGGATTTGGGAGAGACGAGAGCGGCTGTTGGTTGTTCCCTTTTCCTACTGCTCTGTACTTCTTCTTCCTTAATCCTCTGCGTTCTCTTCCTTCTTCCTCTAATTCAATCTCAAATCGCCGAGAAGGATCCAGTGTGTGACAGAGAGAGGGAGGGAGGGAGGGAGAGAGAGTGCGACCCAACACCTGCAAAATAGAAGGAGCCGTCGTCGGAGCTGGGAGCGAACGGCGGGTTCTCGGTGGTCGGCAGAGGTGTGGATCGAGCTGGCGGATGGAGGAGCCGATTTGGGAGGCTGTTCCAAAACCCTCCAAAATGTCGTCGTTTCATCACTAGCCGGTAGCCGGATAAGTCCGGTCAGACCCAGGGTTTGACCGATTTTGACCGGCTTTGACCGGTTGCCGGCTAGCTCAAAATATGGCTGGTGCTGGCCCCTTTTGTGCCCGGTTCCGACCCAACCCGGTCGAACCGGCCGGTTAGAGCCGGGTTTGACAACCATGCATATCCCCTAACAACAAGTCCAACCAAAGATGATGTTAGCTTCATTGGGCTTACTACGATGGGCCGCAACTGGTCGAGTGGGTTGGTCTAATAACAAGGTATGAGAATTGACACGTTACAATTCGCAAAATAAAAAATTCCGAGCAAAACTGAACATATATTAATTTCAGGTCCAAGTAATCTTACATATTGGGCCGGGCCCAGGTCTCTTGACGAGCATATTGTCTATTGGTCTCACTACGAAATAGCATGTTGAAGTTTGGTATCTAGGTTCTTCATTGTGCGAAGAAAGGTTGCACTGTCGACGGTTGACCTACTCGATCTCGTCAGACGCAAGTGGTCAAAATTGGTCACACAATATTTAAGTGCATTTTGAGATTATGACTTTGTAATCCAATGACGCCGGCTGCTGGCCGAAAGACCTTTTTCTTGTTAAGATAATTCGGTTTATGCAATAACCATAAAGTTTGGATAAGCATGAAAGTATCATTGGCACGGTGCAAAATTAAAGGATATATTGATATGATTCAGTAAAACGACATCATTTTATTTACAAATTATAAATCAATCATGTTGGTGGCACTTCAACGTCAATTTTATAACCGACACAAGCTAATACCTAGTACAACCGCCCAACATTTAGCCAATGTCACAACCATGATGCCGGAACACTCTAATTGGATGGACGGAAAATTATTTGCCATTGCCAGTTAGTGCTTAGCATTCAGCAAAGCGGGACTGTTAATTAGTCGAGTCAACCCGAGTTTTATCTTGTTCAGGTTTGGTCGTTAATAAACGAGCCGAGCTCGAATTTCACTCATTTATAAACGAGCTGAGTCTAGTCGAACTCGAGTTGGCTCATTCATTAACACCTACTTGACTCATCATTAAGATCAGGAGTTCGGCTTGAGCTCAACTCTACGATAATTTATATATTATACCCTAATATTTATATCTCATATATTATACATGTGAATTACTAATCTCAAGACATATTTGCTTAAATACTTATGATACATAATTTAATAAACATATGAATTATCAACAAACCAACTCATATGATATAGACCGATTTTCTCATAAGCCTGTAGTTAACTTGGCTCACTAATTAAAATGTCGAGATATCTCATAAGCTCAAAACAAGGGATTTCACGAGTTGAACTTAACAAGCCACTTACTCGAGCCGACTTATAAGGCTCACGAACTGAATAAAGGCTTAACTCAATTTTGCTCGTTAATAAATGTTAAACGAGTCGAGTTTTTTCTTGATCAAAAGAGTTTTTGTATTATCGAACGTCAAGTGATTCATAAGTAGTTTGGTTGATTAGCCCAGTTAGCTTGGTTGATTAATAGTCCTATCAACCATCATAAGTTCAGGTTGGGGGCAAGTTATTCACCCAGTATATATATATATATATATATATATATATATTGGCTTAATTGCAAGTTTGGTCACTCGAATTGCTTAAAAATTTCACGTTTGCCACTCAAATTGATTTATTCCATTTTTAGTCACTCGAATTAGTTGAACAGTCCAAGTTCGGTCACTCTCCGTTAACCTCCGTTAAACTCCGTTAATGACGACCGTAAGTGATGACGTGGCTAACAGAAAGACACAGTCAGCACATTTAAACATTAAAAAATGACGACCCGACCCGACCCGCCAACTCAGCCTTACCCGCCACCCTCTTCCGCCGCCCCACCTACCTCCGCCGTCTACCCCGATTCCGTCGATTCTTCGCCTCGCTCCCGCACCACAGAGTCCTTCTACGATGAACCGCCCCCTATTTCTTCCAAGCTCCGCCTCATGTGCTCCTACGGCGGCCGAATCGTCCCCCGTCCCCACGACAAGTCCTTCTGCTACGTCGGCGGCGACACCCGCATCGTCGTCGTCGACTGCCAAGCCTCGCTGTCCGATCTCTCCGCTAAGCTCTCCACCACTCTCTTGAACGGCCGCGCCTTCACGCTCAAGTACCTGTTGCCCTGCGAGAACTTGGATTCCCTCATCTCCCTCACCACCGACGAGGATTTGGATAACATGATTGATGAGTACGACCGCACCTCCACCGGTGCCCCCTCCAATTCCTCCAAACCCTTGGGGCTGCGGTTGTTCCTCTTTCCCGTGAAGCCCGATTCCTCGCAGTCAGATTCCCTCATCTCCCTCACCACCGACGAGGATTTGGATAACATGATCGATGAGTACGACCGCACCTCCACCGGCGCCCCCTCCAATTCCTCCAAACCCTCGCGGCTGCGGTTGTTCCTCTTCCCCCGTGAAGCCCGATTCCTCGCAGTCAATTGGCCCGATTCTGGAGAACAGCGCCGCCAAGGGTGAATTAATTGGGTTGGTTCTTGGGTTGGGCAAGTAAGGCTGAGTTGGCGGGTAAGGCTGAGTTGGCGGGTCGGGTCGTCATTTTTTAATGTTTAAATGTGCTGACTGTGTCTTTCTGTTAGCCACGTCATCGCTTAACGGTCGTCATTAACGGAGTTTAACAGAGGTTAACGGAGAGTCACCGAACTTGGACTGTTCAACTAATTCGAGTGACTAAAAATGGAATAAATCAATTTGAGTGGCAAACGTGAAATTTTTAAGCAATTCGAGTGACAAAACTTGCAATTAAGCCATTTTTTTTTTTCCTTCAACAGTTTCGTACGCAGTGGCTTTTCGCCTTTTCCACATCGGGGACTTCAAATTTACCGGTACCAGACCACCGCTGCCAATTTCCCGGCAAGGCAGTTAATTCGCGCGCCCCTCAAACCCCTCTACCCAAATAGGAGCAGTTGAAGCGCGCTGTCTCGTGGCCCCTGCCCTTTCTTTTTCCCGGTCCCGGAGTCAAATCAAAATTCATATAGGGCAGAGATTCCAATTTCCCATTGCTTTCATTCCAATCTAATATTGGGGGGGACCTCTTTTGCCTCGTTTTCCCAGCACCCAATCAGCACGGCCCCAAAAATTCTTACCTTTTCGGAGAAACGAAAGAAAGGTACAAGGCGTCATTCAAAATCCCTTCTTGATTAAGTTTCTGCCCTCGACCCACTATGCACCTTGCTTCTCTTCTTGCGCCTACCAGATAAAGTGTGCAGCTTTGGATGGAAATCGAAAGTGGGAATGTAGCTAACGGTCACTGTTCTAGTCTGATTCTTGCAGCAGGGCTCTGAGGGTTTCTTTTTCCCCTTCGAAAGAGAAAGGATACCTAGAATCCCTATAGTGGCCGATTGGGTGGTAATTTCACTCGTCTACCTCTGATAAGGTCAGTCTTTGTATCTGTTCTGTTCGTCATTCCTAATTCATGGGTTCTTCGATTTCTAACGTTCCTCCTATATTCGAAAAGTTTGATTCACGTTTTGGGAATGGGAAGGGATGCCCATTCGAGTATTGGCTTGTTGACCAAATTGTGAAAGTGGGCATTGTATCTGGGGGGTGTACTAATTAGTCAATGCTCCAAGGACGCTGTAATTAAATTCCTTGCATGTCTTATGTTAGAGAGTGTTGAGTTGCTTGCTTTGGAACTATCCTTTCCCCACAATGGCCTCCTGCCGGCTGTTTGGCAGTGTCCTATTTCTTTATCGGCGCCTTTACGTTTGTTCTGGTTGAACTCGAATGGACTTACTGTTGGCATCTTTAGATTTGGGAATACCCTGAATGGAATGGAATGGAATGGAATGGATAAGTTCATAACTCTGCATATGTGGTACTAGGTTCTTCCGAGCAAAGATGAATGCTCCATTGGAGTCTACTTTGTGGGATATACTTGGTGTGATTGAACCTCAGAGGGATGATTGGCTGTTTCGGCAAAGAATCATTCAAGAATTACAAGATGTAGTAAGAACAGTTCCAAGTCTTAGAGGTAAATCTCCTGTCTCTAAATGTCACCCCAAAGCTAAGTGCTGCTGTTAATTGAAGGAGACGCCTTAGACTATATTGGCTTGTATTTGTGCAGAGGTATTATGTTCCTTGAAGATACTTTCTTGTATTAACATGGAAATGTAACATCTGGATGATAACAGGTGCGACTGTGGAGCCATTTGGATCATTTGTGTCCAATCTATTCACTCCATGGGGGGACTTGGATATTACTGTTATGCTAGATTATGATTCTTACATTTCGTCTGCTGGGAAGAAGAGGAAGTTGTCTTTACTTGGGGATGTCTTAAGAGCTTTGAAGGAGAAAGGTATTGGCTTCCACAATTTTGGGGATGTTGGATTCGGACTTCAGTTCTCATAGTTATCCTGATCAGAATCAGACCCTTCGTTTTTTTTTTATCGTTTTTCATCTAATGGACCTTGTTGATTTTATTACCTGTTTCTCATGCATAACTCAAGGAAGTAAATCATACATTGAATATGAGTTCTGGAGCTGGATGTCCTATTAGTTCTGGATTAACAATTGTTCATTTAATGGAAAATGTAGTACCTTCTTGAGTTTACATTTATCATGCAGAGAAAATCGATATAATATCGCTCTGTTTACTTTAGTCCTCAATCTTTCTCAGTTTTTCTTGAATGTAACATGACTATGCGGTCAAACTCTTATTAGTTATTTTGTTCCCCTTTTCAATGCTTTAGCTTGAAGGATCTGCTTGACTGCTGCAGGTGGATGGTGGAGGTTGCAATTTATCCCACATGCAAAAGTTCCTATTTTGAAATTTGAGAAAGGACGCCCTGCCATTTCAGGGGATATTTCAATTGACAACCTTGGGGGCCAGATGAAGTCCAAATGCTTGTTCTGGCTCAACCAAATAGATGGACGGTTTCGACCATTGGTGTTACTGGTACTGGATCAGAGTCCTAGAAAATATGCTTCTTCAGAAGATATGCAACCGTTTGAATCAATTTTTCCCTCATTTAGGTTAAGGAATGGGCCAAAACCCAGAACATCAACAGTCCGAAGTTTGGGACACTTAACTCGTACTCCCTTAGTTTGCTTGTGCTCTTCCATTTTCAGGTGATTTCTTCTCCTTTCACTCTCAAACCTTTCACAATATTGTTGTATTGGCTCGTGGGCATGAATTTTTCATTTTTGAGTGTTGGTTGTCAAGCTCCTCCCATTGCAAATGCAATCCTTGCCTTTTGAGGGCTTCAGTGAAGGGATGGGCATAGTAACTTTTTTCCAGTCTAAGCTTCTCGATTCATCATATAAGTTGTTCCATTTATTTGGTTCATACTTGTACCGTCTTTTGAGGGCTTTGTTAGATGGATGCTGTAGCACTTCATCAGCATCTGTACTTATTTGGTGTTTTCCTTTTTCTTCCATTTGAATGTGTGCAGACGTGTGAGCCAGCAATCTTTCCTCCACTTCAGGCTATATACCCAACAAATCTTGTTGATGACCTTACAGGTGTGAGGGAAACTGCTGAAAAAACTATCGCCGACCTTTTTCATGCCAACATAAGAAGATTTATAGCAGACAGATCCAGACCCGTGAACAGAAGTTCGTTGTCTGAGCTTTTTGTTTCCTTTCTAGCAAAGGTAATGGATAGTTCTTCATTCATTTTATTGTTACTAATCTGTCATCTTAGTGACTAGTCTTTTGTCCTTTCTTCTTTTCAGTTTTCAACCATCAGTCTGAAGGCCCGAGACTTTGGAATTTCCCCATTTACAGGGCAATGGGAAGAGATAAACAATAACACAAGATGGTTTCCCAGGACTTTTGCGCTCTATGTAGCTTTATTTATCCCTCTCGCGTCTTTAGTATCATCTGCTTCTTTTTACTTTCAATTCTCTTACCAATGTTATATATATTTATATATTTCCAGGTAGAGGATCCGTTTGAACAGCCTGCAAATACTGCAAGGACTGTCAGTGTTAGAAACCTAGACAGAGTACAGGAAGTGATTCAGAGAACCCAACTTACCATTTTGTCCCCCAATCTGACTTGGATCGATCTTCATCAGTTGCTGGTGAAGCCGGAGCTGAGTCGGGTGATCCTGTTTAGAAAGCAGAACCAGAATAGTAGTGGGCAAATGATGCATCCTCTTCCACAGCAGCAGCTGCCGCAGACAAGGAAGCATGTGCATTCTCCTTCTGCACCGGTTATAGCAGCTCGGGTTCAGAGTGCAAGGCCAGAGAATCAGTTGAGAAGCCGGATAAATGGGAATCATCACATTCACGGGTTATCATCAAATCCCAAGCAAGGAACATATTCCAACAGTGCTGTCTCGGAAGAGAGTAACCCAAACAAGTGGAGTAAGCAAGGGATGCAGCAGCAGCAGCAGCAAAGGGGGGATGTCACTAATAGTAGGCAGCAGCTGTGGAGGCCAAGGTCACAACAAAGTTAGTGGCTCGTAGCATCAGAGCTTCATATACCTATATCAAATTGTTTTGGTGGCCTCTCTTATAAACGTATTAGAGAACCCGCCTGGGGTATTTTGGGCCAATTGATGAACGAATGCACAAAGTTGCTTTCTGCTGCTGCAGCTAACAACAGTTCTGTTACCACTTTTTACTCTCTTTGTTTAGAACTGCGAAGCCAGAGAATGCATTTACATACAAAGTTTTGGGTCTAGTTGGTAGCTGAAGTCGAGATTTTATAGCAAAAATGGAAACAACACTAAACATCCCATAATATGCTTGATAGGTAAGGTTTACATATGGTTGGTAAAACAGGGAGAAACAGGTTGGGAACAAAACAAATACAACAGGAGTGTGAATAAAAGAATGAATCGTTCCAAGTTCCAACAGGTAATTAACTGCAAATATACAAGAACATTAGTTTAATTTGCCCACAATTTGGAAAACTAATCAATCAAATGTTGTCCTACACTTCGCCACGAACTTGACGTGTAGCGTTAGAGTTTACAATGTTACACGGCTGTCCCTGTTTATACTGTATAGCAGGACGTCTCAGCTGTTGAGATGTTTTAACCAGATCAGCATCAGCAGCCGTCGCAGGAAACCAGTAACGTCAAAACCATCTCGACTACTAGCAACCCATTGTCATATCATCCCCTAGCTCATGTGTGGTAGCAAGAGGAAGTTCCATCGACTTTCAGTATCTGCTTTATCTCAACAGTTTACCAGGATAGATCCTGTGTTTATTTTGTTTTAAGAGCGCAAAAGGCGTTTATCACAGACCAGGATCCTATAACTTGCATGCGGTCCCTCAGATGTGTCGTGTAAAGCTGAATGCCAACCCATGGCATTGGCAATCTCTTGCAGTTCTTCCATGACATCAAGGGTGTCTCGGATATATGCTCGACCACCAGGTCTAAGTATGCGATCCATCTCGAGCATGATCGTGGACAAGTTACATCTGATACAACACATAAAATGTAACTACTAAGTCCCAGAAGCAAAACAGCCATGTGCATCTTGTACAAGAGAGAAACTAAAACTTGGCAAAGGAAGTTGTTACCTTTTCCTCTCAACAGAGAAAAGCCCCGAAGCATGCAATAAATCATAAGTTCTCGGGTAGGTGTCAAACGGCTCACACCTAAATACATCATAGGCAACATTCTTATCAAGCTCAATTAAGGGAAATGAAAAAGAACCCTTAATCAGAGTTTGGATCGGTACCAATCGTGCATGACACCTAGCAGTCCACGATCGTATATGACAGGCAGAGTGTTCGGCCCACTAACCGGGACCACATTCATAACCCAGCTATTGAATCCATGATCAATCAGTGCTGCAGCAAATCTGCCAATACCGTGGGGTAAAAAACATAATTTTGCATTCAGATAAGCAAGTCAGAAAATTGCAAGGCCATCAGTTGGACAAGTATTGAATAGATAGGGTACCCTCCAAAACCGGATTTCATGTCCAAGACATTTCTGAGCTTAAGCTGTTTCCAATGCCAAGCACGGACATAGCCAGCTATAATTTCAGACCAATATTTCGACTCAGCCTTAAAAAGCTCTTTTCTGGAAATGTAAGCATCCATTTGTATGCTCTGAAGCCTATCGGGAGGTGTATGTAAACGAGCAGGCCATGCAGTCACATTCCCTCCGTATCCATTCTCAGGAATGCGAGTAATGCATGGCTTCAAATCAACATACCTAACACGAGAGAGCTTCATCAGCACAATCGAGTTAACCATTGGGAATAAGTTCCATATGCAATGCGGTTTCTGTAGATTATCAAATTTGAGCTGCATATACTTCCCAATAAGCATCATTATCGGTGTATGAAATTTGAAGTTTTTTGCTACAAGCCATTTCCGAAACCAAAGCAATATTTGAAGGCAGAAAGAAATATACCAAACTTTATCAGGATCATCATCTTGATCACACAATGGAGGACTAACTCCCTCATCTCGACTTAAATAGCAGCTATTATTCTTGGGTTTCTGCCATATTGCAATATATCCCTCTTTCTTTACAAGCTCCCAGCAAAGCCGAGTTGTAAGGTTAAGCATCTCTGCAGAAGATACAAAACAATGATATTAATTACACCAGTCCAGCAAGAAGGAGACAACAAGGACAGTATGATCATCAGGTAAAGTAATTTGACAAATCAATTCAGTAACAATATTACTTAAGAATACAATAATCGCGTAAACTGATGGTTTTGATATGCTTTTAACAAACTGAGGTGATACCTTCCCATTGTTCCTCTAGCACTTGCTCATGCTTGTAAACAGGCTGTGCTGCCCAAGCAAAGTATCCTCCAGCTCGCATCATCCTGTTGACCTCAAGAAGCAAGATTCCATCTTCAAAATAACAGTCAGTGATCAGAAGATACAGACACTTGAAGTTTCTCCATAAAAATCAAATATCTATAAGATTAGTGTCTCTGTAACTAATGGAAGCATTAGAGAGCATATATTTTGAGATGTGAAACAGATAGAAGAAGCTAACATAGGAAGGCAAACTGCCAGAACATGTTTTTAAACGAAGTTTTAACATGCACAGAGGCAAATTTACATTGCCATTAAGCTAGGGCTAGTACCGAAGTCCTAGACTAACATTAGGAAATAACATTTTCTTCTTTTTCCCACTACAGAACAAGGCAATTAAAGGATGGATGGCCATACATACCATCACGAGTCCAATTGATTCTACATCTTGAACAATGGATGATTTCAAAGGCCTGACTCGGATACAGGAGACGATGGGTTGCAAAAGCAGCAACCATAGCAGGGACACCACGCTCAAGAGCAAATTGAATCTGGTTCTCGTGCACATCTTTGGGAGCTATTGACAAAGGTGCGACATCCCGTGACATTAGATATGCACCAAAACTTGCTACACCGCATCCGACATCCAAAACAACTCGTGTGTGATTACCAAAAGCAATGTCTGGGACCATCTGCATGAAAAGGAAGAACCCATGTAATCCAAACCTTAGTAGACTAGGAATGTAAACGAATTTTACCTTCAAACTAATACTATGAGAGAACGACTTAACAGACCTTTGAAATTTGATCCAAGTATTGATCTGCGCCATGAATGAACTGTGTTCCACCACCAGGGAACCTGAACTTGTCCTTGGCTTTGGTAATCCAGTTCTGACCTCCTTTATCATCGACCAAACGTGTGTGGGGTACATTGGAAAACCACACCTAAAAGGGAAAAGCAAAGTGCTTTCAAAATCCTCAGCAAGATTAACCAGACCAACCAACTTTCATTCCCTATCCTTTTGAGCACCTAACAGCTTCCCAGAATTAAACACGGCCAGCCGCATACAATGAAATGGTTGAAAACAGCTCAAATGTAGTAAATTTTGCAGTTATTTTCCGTCATTGTTTCAAATCACCATACCTCATCACGACTCCGGGGCCATGGAAGTGGTTGGCGGTACCCTTTGGGCGGCGGAACCAAGCAGTTCAGCTCTTTCCCTTTCTCAGGACAATGCCGCTCAAATCTCTCCCCTTTCTCCGTAGATTTCAACTTCTTGATTGCCTCTACATTGTCCAAACACGGAATATACTCTCTCATACTCTCAGAACACAGCTCAAATCTCTTAACCTTAACACTAGAACCCTCACCACCTTCACTGTCGACCTCAGTTTCATTCCCCCAATTCTCCACAACCTCCGGATCCACCTGCCCGACTTCAAAATCATCGCTCATCTTCCCATCCCCATCAATAACCCCAAACGTCCGATCCAATTCCACCACTGGAGGCGGAGGAGCCTGCTCCGCAGCCGCGGAATCACTCGCCGGTGACGTGGAAGCCGGAGGCACGGGGACCTGCTCGGGTACGGTATCGGTCTGGGTGATCAAAGCAGTGACATTAAACGACTTGCCGTAGTTGGGGGAGACTCCGACAGAGGTTCCTGGTGAAGAAGAGAAGAAGACAACCTGCTGGTCGCCATTGGAGGAGCTCCAGTGCTTGCCCAAGTAGAAAAAAGTGAGGGTAACTAAAATGAAGCCAGCGATCTTGAGAACGAGAGGGGTCTTGAAGAGATCCAAACCCGCCGACGCTTTCATGGCGTTGTCGGGGATGGAAGATCTATTCACTTGATCTACGAAGTTGCTGTTATGAGTGACATTGGGTTTGTGACGGGACGGCGGTGCGAGGGTGGCGGTGGCGGTGGGAGACGAGTATAGTGAGGCGAGCTATGGATTTAGCAGGATCCGTGGGCTTTGATGGTGTAGTGGTGACGAAGTAACACTGCTCTGAATTTGAGGGAATAAGGTTGTGAACCCGCGGGTCGACCCGCGGGTTGACCCATTTTGATCTTGACCCGGTGAGAAAAATGGGCCGCACGCACCCGTCGGGTCGACCGCTACAAGGTACCGAGTTGGAGGTTAAATTGTGTCATTTTTTTCTTTGTTTTGCGAAATGCGCCTATTTTCCGATTTTTCTTTTCGCCTAACTCAATCTTTGGAATCCTAAGTTGAACATTTGAATATTAATGTTATATAAGTTTGTGTGAATTTTCCCTATATGTTGAATCTAAGTACGAAATGTTATTTTGGTGTAATATTATATGTTATATCTCATATATTAGATGAGATTTGATATAATTTATCAGGATAAGTACAATATAATGACGCTTTCCATGTTTCCGGGCTAAACCGGGCTAAAACGGATGGCCTATTAACCCTTGACCCACTAACTCAACCGGGTCCGAATCAACCCACGGGGTTGACAAGAGGGATACGTTGATTGAATTGCTTTTGGGTGAAATACTATTGTGGTCACTGAACTTCTTGTTGGTCAACCGAATGATCACTTAATTTATTATAGCTTCCTAGTCTCCTCTTCTTCAAGAATATGAGATCAATTACAGAAATGGTCCCTAAATTTTGGACAAACTACCAAATTTGTCATTGAATTTTGAGTTCTAAAAATATTGAAACTAAAAGTTGGAATAGCTATTATAAGTATATAACACATAGCACATTCATCGTCATGAAATTTTTCATCTAGACTAACATGTCAATTCAGTTACGTTTATAATAGCTCATTCTTCGAAAATTAGAACCTCTTTAGCTTAAATCTACGTTTTATATAACATTTTTATTATTTATTTGACGAGTTGATATATAACCTAAACAATTTATACTCAATTGACAGGACTAGTTTGTTTACTTTTTTGGTTATAGAACAAACTAAATATTTTGTTAGTTATGCAGAATTTTGATGAAAGGATTTTAAGTATTAAAATTCAGTAATTTTTATAAATAAAAATTACATGAATAAAAATTTCCATGACTAATTTGTCAATATCATCAAGTGTAACTGTAGCAATATTTTTTATTTATTATGTTGACCCGATCAACAAATCAAAGTCTTCTTGGAAAGAAAACCCGGAAACTTAAAAATCCCCCCACCGACGACCTTCGAAGTCCGAGCCGTAGCCGCGCATTTTTGGTACAATTCTTTTGTGTTTTTGGCATTTCTTTGCAAACACTCCACCTGTTTTCTTCGTTTTCGCCCCGCCGGCCGTTTAATTTCCTCTCCGGCGATAATTCATTCCTCCTCTCTCATAGTCGCTCGCCCTAATTTGTTGGGTTTACCTCCCAAATTTCTTCAATTTCCAACACCCTACCCGATTTCGCGTCATGCGCTCATTTCTAGGGTTTGCGTCCGCTAGTGCCAATGTATGAATCCCGCCGTGCTATCATAGGATCGAGAAAATTCGTTGACAGTTTTGGATGAAATTACCTGTGTTTCCTTTGATTCAGTTGGTGTGCGTGGTGAAGTTTGAAGCTTCGGGTTGGAGGACGGGGCGGTGTTGTGGTTACAGTCGCGGGGAAAAAGTCTATCCCGCAATTCAGATGAAAAATGTCTGATATGGCTGGAATGGTAGTTGAGTTGAAGCCGGAGATCGATAAGGAGCCATCTTGCTCGAAGTCCGTGAACGAGACGGTGAATGGGTCGCACCAGTTCACTATAAAGGGGTATTCTTTGGCGAAAGGTATGGGGTCCGGAAAATGCATTTCCAGTGATATTTTCACGGTGGGTGGTTATGATTGGGCGATTTACTTCTACCCGGATGGCAAGAACCCCGAGGATAGCTCCATGTACGTATCTGTGTTCATTGCCTTGGCCAGCGATGGTACAGACGTCAGGGCGTTATTTGAGTTGACGTTGTTGGATCAGAGTGGGAAAGGGAAGCATAAGGTGCATAGCCACTTTGATCGTGCGCTGGAGAGCGGCCCATATTCGTTGAAGTACAAAGGGAGCATGTGGTAATGTAATTCTTAATCCCTTGCTCTGATCAACTTGTAGTTAGGTTTAATTGTTTTGATAATCAGTAATGACCAAATTGTGGTAATGTAACAGGATGGATTAATAATTTGTTATCATTGGCGCCTTCCAATGAAGTAATTTGTGTGCTGTCCTGAAGGCTTTCAGCTCCATAGATTTGTGCATGTAATTATTGGCCTGCGCATTTGTAGTTATTCAATTGTTGAAAGCTTGTTCTGAGATCAATGCATGCTCATTTATAGTTATTGTCGCACTGCAGGGGTTATAAGCGTTTCTTTAGGAGAACAAGTCTAGAAACTTCAGATTATATAAAGAATGACTGCCTCATCATGAACTGCACCGTTGGAGTTGTTAGAACTCGTCTTGAAGGACCTAAGCAGTATTCTGTTATTGTTCCCCAATCCAACATGGGTCAGGGTCTGAAGGAAATCATGGAAGCTGAAGTTGGTTGTGACATTGTGTTCCGTGTTGGTGATGAATCATTTAGAGCTCATAAGTTGATCCTTGCTGCAAGATCACCTGTTTTTAGAGCACAATTCTTTGGACTAGTAGGGGATCGTAACTTGGATGAAGTTACGGTGAATGATATTGATCCCACGATCTTCAAGGTATCCTCTGGTTTCATACCTCTGCCTGTCATTCAGCATACTTGTCTGATTGCATGTGAGACACCACTCTAACGATTCATCGGAATCTATCATATGGAATAATCATGCATCAATATATATCCATGTATGTTGAGCTGCTGTGGCCGGTGGTGAATCTAACTTAAACAGAAAGCCGAGGGAAACATTTTATTTGAATATTATAATGCTGCCCAGTTTCGTTTGTAGTCATCTTGTGCTGTTTCTTTGCATTGCCTTTGAATCTGGATTTGTTTTGCATGAATACTGGCCTTGTTCGAATGTGTGTAACAGCCTTTTAGCATCTGGTTTCAAAAGTCTGCACATTGTTGCTTGTAGCAATTGTATTGTCTCTTATTGGCTTATGGATGGCCTTTCGTCTTTGATGCTAGAATTTGTTATATTTCTCAGGGGTTATAGGTATAATATGCCCCTCTACCATGTAGTTTTATCAAACATGCCCCTCTACTATTTTTTTACATCAAACATGCCTTATACTTTGTAAAAATGATCAAACATGCCCTTTTGTTAAAATTTGCATCCAAAAACCATCAATCATGGTCAAAGCTTGGTTTGGGCGACACCTATGTCTAAAATATTCCTAATAATTTCACTTTATAATTGTTATGTTTCTTTTGTATAGTCAAATACCTCTAATAATTTCACTTTAACTAGACACGGAGAAATAAATGAGGAAGAAAAACTGACATTTCAACCCCAATTTTTCCGATGTCGGGTCGTGTGAATCTCGGTTCAAATGTGATTGACCATTTTTTAATGGAAATTTTTACATAAGGGCATGTTTGATAATTTTTCCAAAGTATAGGGGCATGTTTGATGTAAAAAATAGTAGAGGGGCATGTTTGATAAAACTACATGGTAGAGGGGCATATTATACCTATAACCCTATTTCTCAGTATCTCTTATTCTGTGTTTTGCTGTTAATTACTCTGTCACTAGATATGCCTTACTCTACTTGCATAATGCTTTTATGCAGGCAATGCTCCTGTTCATTTACACAGACAAACTTCCTGAAGTGCATGATGTTATGAGCTCGTCTTCATCCACAGGCACGTGTACCAACATAATACAGCACTTGTTAGCTGCTGCCGATCTGTACAACTTAGATCGCTTGAAAGTGCTATGTGAATCAAAGCTATGTGAGGAGCTCTCGGCTGTATCAGTGGCCACAACACTGGCGCTGGCTGAGCAGCATCAGTGTGTCCAACTCAAAGATGTCTGTTTGAAATTTGCGGCGAATCCAGCAAACTTGGGAGGTGCGTGTTCTTCGTAGGGCACTGAACAGTACAAGTTTCAGGTTATGTCAACTCCATTGTTTTGCAAGTATGAGATCTCTGCAACTTTTTCTATGGAGCATTATGCTTAACTTACAACTGTTGTTAACACAGGGTTATTGATATGGTATGATTGTGCATTCATTGATACTTCATCTCTCCCCTGTCTGAAAGACCGATAGAAGTGCATACTGAGTTTTTGGGTATTGGTATGCGTACCATACTTGATTGTACAGCAAAGACACTTTATTTTATCATTGACTGTTTGTTCGAGCAAGAGGATAAGTCATTGATATAAGATCTTTACGTTATGATAGTTAGTGCCCTTTGGATTGGTTAAAAGTAGAAATGAAAATATACTACGATTGAAAAGAATGCTTTAAATGACTGGTTATGGCAATCTGTGCCTACTGTTGAGTTTCAAATCTTGTGCATGAATAGCACCGCCATGGGTCATTTTCATTGGGGATACTGAAAGTACCTTGAAAAATATGTAGTTTTAGATGTCAGGGAGAACAAATCCAGCTACACGATGCTGTTCGATGGGGAGACTTTATGCTGCTGTGTAATGAAAGCATGTTTTAGTAGTTTTTGGGGCATGTCTATATGCGTCTTATGAATCAATGATAATGTGTGAGCCTGTGTGTTTGTGTATATATTTGGCAGTGGTGACGCAATCAGAAGGTTTCAGACATTTGGAGCGGAGCTGCCCGGCATTAGTGTGCGAGTTGTTGAAGACACTTGCCTCAGCTGATGAGAACTCAAACATGCATCCTAGTAGGAAGAGAGGCGGCACCAGCATATACAGCTTAGACATTGCTGCAGCAGGGGGAGCTGCAGATGATGGGGCTATGGCAGAATCTAGTAATCCGAACATGAGGCGGGTGAGAAGGCGGTTCTAGGCGTACATGTATGCCACTTATATATATAGCTTAAATTGGGGACAGTGTGGAGATTGTGAGATTCCTTCAACTGACTGGCATTGGTACTTTAACTAGGGTTGCTGGGTTTCTTTGTAGTGTGTTGTAAGTTTGTGGCCTGGGGTGGTTCATCTCTTTGACTACGAGCTTGTTAGGAGGAAAAAGATTGATTTTTTTTTTTTGCTTTTGTTTCTAGCATCTCGTTGCCGATCATGTTGCTTTTTGAGCCAAGATATGTGGAATTGTAGCAGCAAGACAATGCCTTGTAATGTAACTTGTTATTAGTCGTCTAATACTGAAGAGGCCCTCTGGTGCAATCTAATCCATCGTCCTCTCAGTGGGTTGACACTTGACAGACGAAAGGAAAATAAAGCCTGTAGCGCCAGCCCGGTGGTTTGAGCAGAAGAAGCCATGTCGACTCCTTTTGGGATTAGGAATTGGTGCACATTGATATCAAATAATGAGTCCAAGTCCGCAGAGGAGAAGGATTACTTGCCTGGTAATATTCCGGTCATACGTTACCACTCAGCTATATAAAGAAAATAATAGTTTCTCACACAACTACAATTAGCCATTCTTTTAGTCATGGTGGGTCAGTCGGAGCCGGAGAAGCATCCATGGCGTAGTTGCGCCTCCAAGTCGGTGGTCGAGACAGTGACGGGGTCGCACAAGTTCATTGTAGAGGGTTATTCTTTGATGAAAGGCATGGGAACTGATAAGTACGTGTCCAGTGATGTTTTCTCAGTGGGTGGTCATGATTGGGTGATCCGCTTCTACCCTAATCAAAGCAAATCTAAGAGCTTTACGTGCATTATTTTGGTCAGCGACGATGGTGGTACGGGCATTCATGCCTTGATTGATTTGAGATTCTTGGATAAGAGTGAGAAAGAGGGGCATCATGGACGGGAAACAGTGCAGCGCGGCGTGCCTGAGACTATCAAGAAAGGACGCCTCTGGTAATGTGCCTATTATTATTTATTTTTATTGTTAATGCCTTGATCAAGATGCTGTTCTCATATATCATTGTTGTTGTTGTTGTTGTTGTTGTTGCAATCAGGGGTTATATATGCTCGGAAGCAGTGCTAGCAAGAAGGAAGTATCTGCACAAAGATTGCATCGTCATTGAAGGAACGGTCGGAGTTGTTACAACTCGCCATGAACAAGTTGAAGGGGCCAAACAAGACGATTCCATTACTGTACCCGACTTCAACCTGGGGAACGGTTTCAAGGAACTGCTGGAATCAGAAGTTGGTTGGGACGTAGTGTTCCGGGTTGGTGATGAAACATTCAGAGCTCATAAGTCGATCCTTGCTGCGCGATCACCTTTATTCAGAGCCCAGTTCTTCGGGTTAGCCAGGGATCCTTACCCGAATGAAGTTATAGTGGATGATGTCCATCCCTCCATCTTCAAGGTGATCCTTCCATTTTTTTCAGGGCCCAAAACCCTAAACACTAAATGCTAAACTCATCACCTTATACTGTCCTCTTTGCAGGCGATGCTGCTATTTATATACACAGACGAACTTCCTGATGTGCATGATACAACAAGCTCATCGCGTTCGTCCACGTCGGAGGCTACCAACACGATGCAGCATCTGTTGGTTGCAGCTGACATGTACAACTTGGACCGGTTGAAGGTGTTCTGCGAATCTAAGTTATCCGAGGAGATCACCGCCCTATCAGTGGCCACGACACTAGCATTGGCCGAGCAGCATTATTGTGCGCAGCTCAAAGCTGTCTGCTTGAAATTTGCAGTACATCCACCAAACCTGAGAGGTAACCTGTGTTGTTAGTTCGTAGGGCACCTGACAGTACAAGTTTGTTCAATTCACGAGCCTTATGAACCTCTCTGTGTTTGTGGTACTTGCATGACAGTGATGATGCAGTCAGAAGGTTTCAAACATCTGGAGGAGAGCTGCCCGACATTGTTGCGCGAGTTGCTGAAGACAGTTGCATCAACGGATGAGGATAGGGTTATGGCAGAGTCTATAAATCCAAACAAGAGGCTTGCGAGGAAGCGTTTCTGGTTCAGGAGAAGGCATGCATAATATACATAAAACTAAAACTAATGTAGAGAAGGTGAGAAGTTAGGGATTTGGGAGATCCGATCCCTTCAACTAACTGGTTTTATTAATTAACCAGGTTGTGGCAGTGTGTAGTTTGTTGTAAGTTCGAGGCCCGGGGCAGCTATCTCCATTCTTTGAGGCTATGAGTTTTTTTAGGAAGTTGTAGGAGGTGGAAAAGTGGATTGGGAAGAAAGGTTTTTTTTTTTGCTTTGTTTTGCATGTTGTTGATCATGATGTTGTTGCCTTGTGGTCTAAAAATCGATTAAGTCTATATCTCTCGTTGGCTTTTTCATCCAAATTCTTAATTTATGTATGGCCTGCTAGTTGTGTTTCGTGAAAAATGAAAGATAACATTACAAATGTGTATGAAAAAATTAGCAAAATGTAACTCATAAGATGTAATTGCAAAAGTAGCAAGTAAAACCACAAAAATGATGTGAGAGCATGTTTAGTTTGGAATTCGACAAACTTTTAAATAGAAAATTGACCTAAGTAAGTTTTTACGTTTGAAATGAAAAAGAAGAAAAAGATAATTGATAATGCGTGTTTTATAGCCCGACAAGCAAAAGATGAACTAAAAAATAACCCTCGACTCTTAATTGAGATGAAAAGAAGAAGAAAAATAGAGAATATGAAAAAAAAGATCAACAAAAGAATGGCAAATTGACCAAAATAAACGATAATAATAACTCGCTTTCTAAATTCTAACCAGTGAAGCAGAGAATTGACGAAAGTAGTCGGTTGGAGAGACATTTACGTGACTTGGCAGTGGTGGCACAAATCAGAAGGTTTCAGACATTTGGAGCAGAGTTGCCCGGCATTAGTGTGTGAGTTGTTGAAGACACTTGCCTCAGCTGATGAGAACTCAAACATGCATCCTAGTAGGAAGAGAGGCGGCACCAGCATATACGACTTGGATATCGTTGCAGCAGATGATGAGGGTGTTGCTGTCAGGAATTGGTAGGAAAGAATCGGATTGAAGGCGTGATTAGATCACTATCATTAGAGTGTTATTTGCCCCCACTACAAATTGCTGGTAGGCTCGAGCAAACCACCCCTAGGAGTCCCTTCAGTTTTAAGTCTGGAAGCAGCAATCTTGCAGACTTCTGTGTTTATGAAATAGAGAAGGAAAACGGGAAGAAGAAGTAATCTCTCATCATTAAAAGAGTTATGACAGTCATCTATTTATAGTTGTGAAAACTGGAAGTTACCTTCCGAAGAGTCACATCCCTTCATAGAAAAGGTAGTTACCTTTATGAAAGGACATATCCTTTCACAGAAAAAAGGGAGTTACCTTTCTGGAGAACACTTCTTTTCAAAATATTCAAACGTTAATTAATTAGTATAAAATTAATTAAACTGCCAAAAGGCTCCATCTTTATACTTTACTTCTCCCATCAATGTCGTATTACAACTCTATTGACTAACTCTAACAATCCCCCACTTAGTCAAAAAGAGTTGACAATACCTGCCTCGAACAAGTAACGCATACATAAAGGAATCTTTTCGATTTGAACCTTTACCTAGTGTAAGCAACTCAAAGTTGATAACGAATCAGTGACAGGCTTAAGCCTAGGAGTCACGATCCAAAGCTATAACCGGAGATGCCACACACGTACTTGTCTCTTCTCTAAACCACAACCACCAACTAGGGTAGCACTATTATGGCCATGTGCTGATCCTGTTTCATGAGCATATACAAAAGTTGACCTCCACTTTTGTTAGAGCGGCACCACTCTTAATGCTCACATAGGTGACATTCTAAATGAATTCATTAAGAGCTCTATAACTCATCTAATGAGTTCTATAACTCACCCTTCTTTGGACTAGTTTACTTGTACAATAAATTAGTATCTCAGTTAGAGTAACTTGTTATTACCACATTGAACCTTTTAATTAGTGAATACCTAAAGAAAAGGTTGGGTTCCCATTACTTCTAACATCACAAGAGGTCTTAATCCCATCCATTGGGAAGTCTCATAGATCATGCCTCGTGACAATCCCTCGGTAAGAAAATCTGCCAAATTATTGCTTGATCTTACATACACAATAGAAATGATTACATTAGTAATCAAATATCTAACGTAACCATGTCTTAGGCTATTATGTCTAGACTTACCATTGTAAATCTTGCTATAAGCTTTAGACAAAGTAGCCTCACTATCACAATAGACAGAAATGGCTAACATCGGTTGTGGCCACAACTCTTTATCTAACAACATGTTTCTTAGCCATCTGTCTCTTTTCCAGCCGCCGGAAAGGCTAGAAATTCATCTTCCATAGTGGAGTGTGTAACACACTTTTGTTTCTTCAAAACCCAAGAAACAACTCCATCACCTAGTGTAAAATCCACCAGTTGTAGATTTATTATCACTAGAACTTGCTATCCAACTAGCATCAAAACCATCTCCCCCACAATTCTTCCACTTGCCGAACTATCATGGAATAATTCCATTTTATTTTCCATGGTATTACTTATTGAACTTTCAACCACTACATTGATCTAATTGTTTACCAATGGTATGAACTAATTAGATTAGTATACCACAAACAATTCAGATATTATTAGAAATATCATCTAATTACTTACCAATGGAATTGGTCAAGGTAACTTGAGATGCCACAAGTAATTCAATTGCATTTCCAGATTGTATTGGAAATGCCATCTAATTACTTACCAATGACATTTCGCGAAGGTAACTTGACATACCACAAGCAATTCAAATGAATATTCTAATTCAATCTTCTAATTACTTTCCAATGGTATAAATTCACACATATACCATAATTAATTCAGAATTTAAGTTCAATAAAATCATCTCAATTAGTTCTCCAGCCAAATTGTTTGCCAATGGTATATGTCTATATATACCATAAACAATTATGGCAATGATTATTTTGATAATCATCCTTCTTTGGCAAGCTTATTCAATCCCTATAAGGACCCATCTTAGTTTTATTTTTCCTTTCCCTCATGGCATATGAAACATGACATCATAAACCAATACATGATAAACAAATTACCATGTCGGGGAACGCTTTTCAACATTATTTCAATATGCTTCAAGTGCACAACTCAAACAATTTTGTTACATAAACCAAATTGTTCCATCTTGCAAGCATAAAAATTGAAACTCATACAAATTTTGGTGACAAAATTTGTTTCAAGAATTCAACGTGAATTCCTCCAAATTCAAACATAATTGAATTTCTCTAAACTCTTATCATAATATGAATTATGAGTTTGTACTCATCTCAAATACTACAAAAGTATTTGATATCACTTAACCAAATAGAATTGGCTTTCCGATCACCAAGGTCTAGATAGTGTTTTCATAGGTGTAGCTTGTCTCTGAATCGAAAGTGGCCTGGAGAACGACGTCGTTCTATAGGTGTAGCTGAAAACAAATTTTTTTGTAATGGTATGAGGGTCGAACTAGCGTCCTGGTCATTACCATGGGCATTCTTCACCATTCATGCTGAACAAGGATTTTGATTCAATATACTTCCACTGTTATATTTATAACTATAAAATGAGTTCTTGTAAAATTAAAACATAAAACTAAACTAAGCAGCCCTTTTGTACCAGGCCCAATAGGTGATGTTGGATCTTTTCGCTTGGGAAATTTCCTTAAGTGGAGCCTCCTCTTTGTTTGTCTTGCTTGCTTCTCTTAGCTGAACTTGCATATAATTTTCAGGTTCTTGATTAGATATGCCGATTGATTGATGATAAATTCAGAGACTCGGTGTTGTTAAGCGTTTGCCGAGCATCGTTGGTAGGTCTTCAAATTCTCTTTTGTACTTTGAATTCGCAAACCTTCCATTAAAGCTTGTATATAATTTGTACACATTATCTTGCTACGGTAGGGATATGTTTGGGTGTTGCTTAACTGAGGCCCCTCTCGTGCATTCTCTGATTCAGATGTTTTATGATGGAAGAAGACTTCGATATCTTGAAGGTCTATCATTTCCTCTGTCTCTCTGTCTCTCTCTCTCTCTCTCTCTCTCTCTCCAAAGCATATGTGATATGTGTAATTACGTCTGTGTTCGGTTCATAAATAGTGATGGCCGAAATTGTTTTTGGTCAAGAAAGAAACAGTACTAGGTTGGCTACTGATAAATTGATTCTCATTCTTCAGGTGTTCTTTATAGCCAGTGGAGATGGCCTCCCTCGTTCGGTGGTGGAGCCAAACGCAATAGAGGAATATGCTTGTAAATAGGCTTGTCATTGGTGGGGATTTAATCTGTACTCCTTGTTAATAGGCTTGCTTTCCTTAGTTGGATCAGTTTAGGTGTCAATAGAGGAATTCTTTTTTTGGACGTAATGGTATTAATAAATTAGGTTTGTTTGGCGGTCTATATAAAGGGGCGCCAAGCCTAGAGTTTACCTTGTAAAAAATAACTCCTGCCGTTTTCCCTGGTGACTTTAGCAAAAGTAAGGCTTTTCTTCTGTGTTGGCGGGGAGATAAACTAATTGCAATGGAGAAATCTCGGTACAGTGCAACAACTAAAATAGCTCTTTCTTTTGGTCGTTTGTGCTGTTCCTTTCTTACAACCTTTTTCCTTTCATGTATGGTCTTTATTCGCTCCTTAAGCCGCTTTGACTTTTGTTTGTTTATGACTTGATGCTCCTTTAATTCCCTACAATTATGTAAGTCCTTAGTTATTTATTGTTTTACGCGGGCAAAATTTGTTGTTTAGCATGTCGAGCCATGATACTAAGAAAGTTGTTGGATCCATATGGACTACCTTTGGAGCAATGGAGACGACGTTCACTGAGTTGTACGATAAGATTAAATCTTTGACTGCAATGATAATGAAAACTGATACTGAATTTCAAGTGCTAAAGAGGATGTCGAAACGCATTCTTGATCAAGCATCTGGAATTTCAAACAACATTTGTGAATTTTGATACCTTTCACCACGGTTTATTCGTTTGAAATTTTAATTAGTTATAAAATATTTTTATGATGTAGAATAATTATATATTTTATGTTGGGTTGGGTTTTTACTTAAAAATATCGCCAACCCGACCCAACCCAATTATAAACAAACCGTAGGGTTTAATTTTTTTTGGGTGGGTTTGGGTTTGATATTTTCCAAACCGTAGTGCATGGGTTGGGTGATAAAATGGCTAAACCCGGACCACCCGACCCATGTACACCCCTACGCAACAACTTTCAAAAGTGGCTATTAGTGGTATTTCG